TGTAACATAACCTTTGTTGGCAATAACAGAGGTCAAATGTTTACTATAGGTCTTTACCAGGTTTGCACACACAGTAGCTGGTGTTTTGGCCCATTCCTCCATGCAGATCTTCTCGAGAGCAGTGATGTTTTGGGGCTGTCGCCGAGCAACACGGACTTTCAACTCCCGCCACAGATTTTCTATGGGGTTGAGGTCTGGAGACTGGCTAGGCCACTCCAGGACTTTCAAATGCTTCTTACGGAGCCATTCCTTTGTTGCCCGGGCGGTGTGTTTTGGATCATTGTCATGTTGGAAGACCCAGCCTGGTTTCATCTTCAAAGTTCTCACTGATGGAAGGAGGTTTTGGCTCAAAATCTCACGATACATGGCCCCATTCATTCTGTCCTTAACACGGATCAGTCGTCCTGTCCCCTTGGCAGAAAAACAGCCCCATAGCATGATGTTTCCACCCCCATGCTTCACAGTAGGTATGGTGTTCTTGGGATGCAACTCGGTATTCTTCTTCCTCCAAACACGACGAGTTGAGTTTATACCAAAAAGTTCTACTTTGGTTTCATCTGACCACATGACATTCTCCCAATCCTCTGCTGTATCATCCATGTGCTCTCTGGCAAACTTCAGACGGGCCTGGACATGCACTGGCTTCAGCAGCGGAACACGTCTGGCACTGCGGGATTTGATTCCCTGCCGTTGTAGTGTGTTACTGATGGTGACCTTTGTTACTTTGGTCCCAGCTCTCTGCAGGTCATTCACCAGGTCCCCCCGTGTGGTTCTGGGATCTTTGCCCACCGTTCTCATGATCATTTTGACCCCACGGGATGAGATCTTGGGTGGAGCCCCAGATCGTGGGAGATTATCAGTGGTCTTGTATGTCTTCCATTTTCTGATGATTGCTCCCACAGTTGATTTTTTCACACCAAGCTGCTTGCCTATTGTAGATTCACTCTTCCCAGTCTGGTGCAGGTCTACAATACTTTTCCTGGTGTCCTTCGAAAGCTCTTTGGTCTTGGCCATGGCGGAGTTTGGAGTCTGACTGTTTGAGGCTGTGGACAGGTGTCTTTTATACAGATGATGAGTTCAAACAGGTGCCATTCATACAGGTAACGAGTGGGGGACAGAAAAGCTTCTTACAGAAAACGTTACAGGTCTGTGAGAGCCAGAGATTTTCCTTGTTTGAGGTGACCAAATACTTATTTTCCACCCTGATTTACGAATAAATTCTTTACAAATCCTACCATGTGAATTCATGGATTTTTTTTTCACATTCTGTCTCTCACAGTTGAAGTGTACCTCTGGTGCAAATTACTGACCTCTGTCATCATTTTAAGTGGGGGAACTTGCACAATCGGTGGCTGACTAAATACTTTTTTGCCCCACTGTACATGCATGTTTAATCCATCCATCCTCTTCCACATAGCCTTATCAGAGTCGCCTATCCCAGCTCTCCTATAAGGCAGGGTACACCCAGGACAGGTTGCCAGTCTGTCACAGGGCTAACACATAGAGACAGACAACCATTCACATTCACACCTATGGGCAATTTAGAATCACCAATTAACCTAACCCCACTAACTGCATGTCTTTGGACTGTGGGAGGAAGACGGATTGCCTGGAGAGAACCCACGCAGACACAGAGAGAACATGCAAACTCCACACAGAAAGACACTGACCCAATGGTGGAATTGAACTCGGGACCTTCTTGCTGTGAGGTAGAGCTGGGCGATATGAGATTTTTTCATATCACGATATGTTTTTTTCATTTCAGGCGATAACGATATCTATCATGATATAAGCCAAATAACTATATTTGTAAGATTTAAATGTGCCGTTGCTCACAAGTAAAATGTGAAATAATCAGCAGCTTGTTTTGATTTAAATATTTATTTCCCATAATAAGTTCAACAGGGTAGATGTACTTAAGGAACATGAGACTTTTTCAGATAAATAAAGGCAAATATTGCAAACTACACAAAAGGCAGCCGCTAAAGCGTTTAAGTTTCAAAATAGAACAAACGAAACAGACTAAATTGTCAATTCCACTTAGAAACAAAATATTAATTCTAAAAATAAATCTTAGTTTGTTTTACAGAAGAACAGACAAAACTGACTAACTTTTGTCAGTATCAAATAAACTGAGAACTAAAAGGAAATTCTCAATCTCTCCTTGTTGTATAGCTGAGCTTTTCAAACAGTTTTAACAGTTACTTTAGTCTGACAAAAGCCGAATGACGAATTAGCGCTTCCAGTCAGAGACTGAGGCTACGTCCACACGTACACGGGTATTTTTGAAAACGGAGATTTTCCGTTTTCGTTTTAAAAAATAATCCCGTCCACACATAAAGGCAGAAATGAAGGAAAACGCTGCTATGAACATGCCAAAGCAGCAGGTGGCGCTAGATTCCTAACCGTGCAGAAATGTTGGCCAATCAGAAGTCTAGAAGCCTCGGTGGGAAAAAGTAAACAAAGCTGGGGCATAGAAGCAGAACCGAGTCGTATGTGTGGAGGGACAGTAACTGTGTGTATATGTAAGCATTTAAACACTGCAGAGAGTAGAATTAACAGTATTGTAGAAATTCATTTCACCGAAACAATAACGTGGCGCACAGTGTGACGCATGCACCAGTTTATTGTATTTCCAGACTTGCTTTCGGCACAATTTACAGTGCACGCTACTCTGTTTTTGTCAGACTTGAAATAGCCGAAATACCTTCACACTACAGAACTTCTTTGGCTCTTCCGTTCGACAATCTCTCCGGCATTGGAACCATCATCTGTTTTCTCTTCGGTCACGCTCGGTTGATTTTTCTAGTCGGCACACTCATTTCCTCCATTACGCGCTGGCTCCATTACCCGCTGGCTGCTTCCCAAACAAACACACGTGCGGCTTGGCACTTGTGCTGTACGTAACAAGTCACGCGACGTGACGCTGCGGCTGTGATTGGTTCGGCTCTGGCTACTTAATTTGGATTGGCTGACTTTTTTTTTTTTTTTTTTTGAGGACAAGAGCGGCGAGGTCTATCGCGATAGCTTAATTTCTCTATCGAGTAAAAGTTATATCGCGATACATATCGTTATCGTTCTATCGCCCAGCTCTACTGTGAGGCAGCAGTGCTAAACGCCGGGCTGCCACCATACATCTTTAATTTCTTTCAAAAACATGAAAGAACAAGAAACTTATGCATCCAATTCTTGTTTTTGAATAATTTTAAATTTATTTAGAATTTTCTCTAATACACACATTCAAAAGTATATATACACTCACTTAACTATTAATAAGTAGTGTTTTTCAACATTTTTATCTTGACTTGGCCAAGGTTTAATAACTTGTTGTTAGTGATCATGATCAACTAAAACTGGTCGTTTCTCTTCGTCAGCATTAAAGGGAGTTGTGGTAGCATCATGCTCAGGAGCTGTTTTGCTGCCAGTGGTACTGATACATTACACAAAGTGGAGGAATAATAATAAAGGAGAACTTCCTCCAAATTCTTCAACTTTACCTCAAATCAGCAGCAAGACAGATAAAACTTGGACACATTTGGGTGTCCAAACTGACGATGATCCCAAACACACTTCAGATGTGGTTTTGGATCGATCAGGCTAACATTAAGCTTCTGGAATGGCCTCCCCAAAGTCCTGACCTCAACCCTATTGAAAATTTGTGGACTGCGCCTAACAGCAGAGACCATGCTAGCAAACCAACCAATTTAAATGGACTCCACACCTGCCAAGAAGAGTAGCCAATATTCAGAAGCTTGTTGATGACTACAAAAAGCATCGAGATGTGACTTGCTTAGGGACATTTAGCCAAATACTAGTGGGAATGTATGTATATATGTATTTCAGCTTTTACATATATATGTAATTTTGAATGGATTAGAGAAAATCAAGAGTAAATTCAAACTTTATTTGCACCAAGATCTGTTTTTAAACTCATTGCTGTATAATCATTCCAGCCTGGAAAAAAGAACAGTTTAAAATCACCATAACATTTCTGCACATGATGAGTGTATTGTAATTCTGACCTGTATGGTTGTGATAAATAACAGCGACCACAATTAGGACTTCATGCATATGACAGCATAATAGGTCAACTTCAAATGATCAATGATACCAAAAAACAAAAATCAGTTTCCCTTCACAGAAAGCCTGAAAACGTTCACTTTTCGAAAGCTACTACTTTCAGTGATTTGGGGACATTATGCCTGAAAAAAAAAATACTCATCAGTTTTCAAATGTATTTTCCACTTTGTAGAAAACACCTCAGAGTAAAATTAATAACATCATGCTGAATTATCTGGTGCACGAAAAGAAAACAACACCACTGTAAAGATGCAGCGCTTGACCTGCAGACCAACTTTTTTAAAGTCCCTGACAGTTAGTTAGTAAGCGAGTTATAGCTTAAAAATGCTCCTATACATGAGATTAAGTAAGGAAAAGCCAGCTTTCAGCTCCAGAGCTGCACAGGTACAGACGCACTGATGCTTCCTCGGCTCCAATGAAGAAAAACAACCCTGTCAGAGCCAGCATGGCAGAAACAGAATCGCACCGACAGTCCTTTCTCGCACCCACACGAGCTCGGCAGTTAGCCGCGCGTGCACTACTATTACATCTGCATTACAGGGTAAACAGGTCCAGAAAAAAAGCCAACAACAACAAGACAACAGCCCCAGCTAGACTCACCCTGAGCTGCAACCCGAGGGCCTGACTCCAGCAAACTGTTTGCAAAACACAGTGAAACGTGCAGCCAGGCTAACAGTAAATTTCCACTGAAGGGGCATCGACGCGGAGCCAGGCTAGTATCTACAGCTAGCTAGCAAACCCGCTAGCACCTGTTCGACAGCGCCGAGGATGAGAAATGAAGCCAAGTTCACTGAATCTGACAGCTACAGGAGGACGGGTGGATGGACGGAGAGCTTCGGAGGATGAAACACACATCTCTGTTCTCCAGCACACAGCTGGCTAACCTTCACCTCAGCACCCGCAAATGACAGCAAACGTACCTTCCTGATGCCTCAAATCCAGCTCGGACGCAGCAGTTCATCCTTTTCCTGAGCTGAAGCCGGGGTTTAGTTTCCTACGCCGAGGAGCTTGACATTCTCCTCATCCTGGTGGTGTTTTCCTTTTTTCAGTCCCATTCCTGTGTCAGTGACGTTCACTTCCTGTTCCCATCATATTCCAGCAGCAGCAGCGGCGGACATCGGCGGACAGCGGCTCCCACCCACCGTCTCTGTGATAGCACAACAGCCTGGAAGCAGCCAGCTGATCAATTATTCATCCCACACTGCAACCGAACAGACAGAGACGACCGAAGGCGCTGCTGCACAGACGTGTGTTGTTCGACTAATCACAAAATTCAACCATTTCAATCAGTTTTTAGTTATGCAATGCAATGGATAAGCTTGTGCACTGTGAAATGTCCAAATTCGAGGAGTGTGCAGAAACATGGTTGTCCAAACTACTTCCACCAGAAACAGTCATCATTTCTGGCCAGTGGACCAGTGGAAAGAAGTGAAGTTTCAATGACCTTGACCTTTGACCATAAAAATCTCACCAGCTCATTTTTCAGTCTGAGTGAACTTTGTCCCAGATGTGAAGGAATTCCCCTGAGGCCTTCAAGAGAGCAAATCATGACACTGGGATTGACGGACACACTATAATCGGACATAGTTAATGGAAAAAGTGGCAATTAAATCCACAAATAAAGCCCTAAATTAAGCTTGTTGACTAAAATTAAAATAAAACACAACTTTAAAGTAAAGTTGTGTTTTGTCTCTTACCCACTTGACTCCAGGTAAGCGACAGATCGGGATTGTTGTCTCTGTCCTCTTTTGTGTCAGTCTGTCTGGTTAAAGCCGCACTCACACTGGCCTAGGAGAATGGTTGGCAAACACCGATCACACCGATCCCTGGAGAAAAATATGTATTCCCTAACAGCAGCCATGTATATGATGAAAATAGGAATTTCAAGCTTTTAGAGGTTGCTGGAAGTTGCAACGATTTTCAGCTGTCAGCTGTTCTTCAATAAAATACTGGGCTTCAATTAAGAAAAAAACAAACAACTTACATTCATGGTTTGGTCATGTTTTCAAAACCAAACATTTCTGAGAATAAAGGTGTTTTGTTTTGGTTTTTTTACACCTCTTGAATGTGTTCATCCAGGTTCATTTAGTTAATATTTGATTTTATTTGATTGTGTGTGTTTCTGGTTGCATGTGGCTTTTTATTGTGTGGTCACTTTGTCCTACAAAAATAAATAAGGCAAGAATATTACCCAAATATGAAGCAAAGATTTGTGGATACACCCATGGACCTGAAAACATGCTGTGTTTTTTGTTTTTTCCAATTTAAAAAAACTACACCAACAAGCATTAAACCTTAGTGCATGACTGCTCGTATTAATATTCATATTTAGAGCTGTTATACATGTTTAACTGTATGCATAAGTTTCTTGCTGGAACTGGGATTTTGACCCATCAGACAGAAACAAGTCATCACTGCAGAAAAGCAAAGACTCATTTTTTTATTAGTGAACACAAGAAAACAAACAGAGTCGTGTTTTTAGATAATTCACATTTTAATAAATTAACTGTGAAAGACAATTCAGTTTTAACCCCGCTGTTTCTCATCACATCTTTCACAATATCTTCTCTTACTGAAAGATTTTGCTTTCCTCCCTTCCTGTGCTCTTATTGGCCAACAGCACCACCTATTGATGAGGAGGAGTAATGTCACTTACAGACTCGTGGGATGATTTTAGAATTATTTTCTTTATCGGAAGAGCTAAAAGGCTGAGTGAGCTTTAATAACTGGAAATAAGATGACCTACTACACTGATGACTCAGAGTTTAAATCAATACATCTCAGATTTCTCCATCATGAGCAGAGAAAACTAATTTGAACTTCCTCAATTTCTGTCAACTACTGATGTAAAAACACTGACGGTTTCTTTCCACACAGGAAAGAAAAATTTCCACCACCTCGGTTTGTTGATTCTGAGCTCACAATGATGTCTTTTTTGATCTCCTGTTAATGCTTGAAGTCTGAAGTGAAAAAAGGACACCTTATTCTGCCGCCTGTTACAGACATCCTGATTTGTAGATCCATCATTAAACACCTCCCACGTTCCTCTCAGGTTTGAGGCAGGCTGCGGTAGAAGGCATTGTCTCTGCAGTGCTGCTGGACCGGCATGTTCCTCCTTGTGCTTCTAACTTTCCCCAGGTCCACCTCCACAAGCACCAAACCTGGCTTCTCCTCCCCGCAGTCACCCAGCACCTCGCCCCAGGGGTCCACGGCCAGGGCGTGTCCGTATGACGAGCGCTTCTCGTGGTGGCGTCCAACTTGTGCCGCTGCCAGGACGAAGCACTGGGTCTCAATTGCCCGGGCACGTAGTAACACCTGAGTGTGAATGCATTTAAAGGGACATTTTTATGGACACTGTTGGTTTATATCTCACAGCAATCCAGCTGTCCTATAATGAGCCAGCTCACCTCCCAGTGAGCAGCTCCTGTGGCTACAGTAAAGGCTGACGGGTATGTCAGGATCTCAGCCCCGTGTCTCTGCAGGGCGACCGACAACTCAGGAAATCTTAGATCGTAGCAGATGCCCAAGCCCACCTGGATTAAGCACAGGGTCAGTAGAAACACAAAGTGCACGTGCCCACCTTAATGTTACTGCACTTAATCAGTGCTTTGGTGTTTCAAACACTGCAAATCATCATCTTTGAAGTAGTCCAAACAAGACCTTGTAGGATAAATAACCCTGACTTACTTTTGGTGGATATTTAACATCATATGTAAAGAGAAACTTCAAGTTTCTGTGAAACCAGCATGAAAACTGTAGTAAATATTCTTATTTCATTTACCTTTTTTCTCAGTTGTCATCTTTCCCTCATTTCCTCTCTGAGTTTCTTTTATCTTAACTGACCTCACCTGGCACACATGTAAGGACTGTAAAATAAAACCAGCTGCAGAATCACTGCTTTCTTTTGCATTCTGACTGGATTCCCATGATTATAGCAACCTTAGCTTACATTTGAACCCCTAAATAACTAAATGTTTAATTTAATAAGAGGAATTAAAATTAATTTGCATGTTTAAAATCTCTTAAAGTGACACCTTTCCGATTGGAGTCTGGACCGGGGCCACGAGGGAGGGTCCAGGAATGGTGAAAGCGCTTTCTTTGAGGGACACGCCTTTTTCTGGCAGCTCCACATCGAACAAGTGGGACTTCCTGTAGACTGAAACGATGTCACCTGTGGAGGAAACGACAGCGTGTCAGCGTGAATGAACTAGATTTATTTTAAAGGGCTTTAAACAGAGACAGGGAGGGAGACAGGGAGGGAGGGAGACAGGGAGGGAGGGAGGGCAGACAGCGGGAAAGCACCTCTATCGTTAATTATGACGTGACTGTTGTAGATCCGTCGGTCAGCCTCCCAGTCGTGTCCCCTCTCATGAAATCCTCCAAGAGACAACCACAACTCCAACTTCCTGAAAGAAACAGCGATTTAAATACTTATCCACACGTTTCCAGCTGACTCCAGTTCATGCACATTATGAAACCAAGAGCACATTTTGCCTTAACAAGCTGATTGTACCAACATTGCACTTCAGCAGTTAGTGAGAAGTTAATCTCTCCAGTGCGTTTCATTGTTGGCGCTGGATAAAACAGACTGAAGGCTGTGTGTTTACCTGGCCAGCTGAGTGTATCTGGAGATCGTGTCTCCTGCCAGGCTCTCTGACAGCGCCAGCGTCTCCTCTCTGCTGGATCCAATGTAGTCAAAGCCCTCAGGCAGGAAGACCATGCTGGCCCCTCGCTGCTTGGCTTCCTCCACCAGCTGTTTGCAGGCAGAGAAGTTGGCCTCTTTGTCAGGGGTGGCTGTCACCTGACAGACAGCGGCCAGCGGGCGAAGTGAGCCAGACATGCTGCGCAGAGAAGAGGTTGTTTTTCAGCTGCAGGCTGGAGAAAACTTTCAGGTCAACCACCACCACAGCTGATCATTAACTACTGCTCTTACTACTCTGTTATACAGTTACTGACTGCAGCTCACTGTGGCTTTTAAGGACAGGTAGACATCTGTAAAACGAAACCTACAAATAAATCAGTATTTGAACCAACTCTTCAAGTTTTTATGCTCTTATTTGCTGACATAACCCAAAATTTGCAAATCCATGACACTTTGTTACAAAGGCTAGCTCACAGCTGTAAGAATAATCAAGAACAACAGCAACAACATACCTGTTTTGCAGCCTGGTGTTGTGCCTCAAAGCTGGGAACGAGACCAGAAACTTTGCAGATGATCCCAAAACGCACCTGAGCGTCAACATCGGCCCCAGACACTGTCACCTTCCCTGATTAGGCGATTTTAGTATTATCATATAAACATTTACTTCTGTGTTCTGCTCTGTCCTCTTCAACAGGAAGAGTTAAGGTTCATTCTTCTTCTCCTGTGAGCTCAGACATAAAGCACACCAGCTCCACCTAGTGGAGAGTCATCGTATTGGCCTGTGACTAACAAAGAAGCACCCTGAGAGCGCAAATCTCCACCACGGCAGCTCACTATCTGAGCAGCATGTACTTTTAAGGTAAATCAAGTAATTTGATATATAAACATTTTGTTTTCTTTTTGCTCTATAGAGGTGTTTTAGGAAATTGCCAAGTGCTTGCAGTAAAAACAACAAATTTTCAGGTCAACTTGAAAGAAAGGCAGATGTGGTCAAATTTGATATATTTGATGGAAAATCAAAAATGAGTCTTTCAACTGCTGCAGTTTCCACAGTTTTCACTCTACAGTCATCGTTTTACCATCAAAACTTAGGAGTGTTTTTCTTCTTTTAAACAGTGCATTTCTCAAAGCTAAGGGATGTAAATGTTTAGAAATGTGTGGATCCAAGTAGAGGATGAATCTTCTAACTGAAGCATAGAACATAAAAAACTAGATAGTGTTTTCAGTGAGGACTTTGTCTCAACAGCAGGGAAGACCCTACTTTTTAAACTGCTCATGTGACCACTTTATTGACATCAGGAACATAAAACACACACCGTTGTGTAGGACAAGTCCTCAGCACCCTCGCGGTTATGGTCTTGATTTTGAAACTTTTGTTCAACAAATGTACGGAGGCAGATTTCACAGGGATTTGTCACAGTATTTGCTGCAGTCACACTGAAAACTGTTGGCAGTTGTTTTCAGATGGTGAATTTAAATATATGGGAATTGTGATGGCCAAACCCGTGGCCACACTCAAGTCGGTGTCTTATGTATTTTCATTCTTCATTTGAACATAGTAATACATTTTAGTTTCCAATAACTTTATTGATTGGTTTGGATACATTTGTTCTATTTGTAAGCGTGCACATTTAGTTTACTTATGTATTCATACTACTTCATTTCTTTGCTTTCTGACTAACCTTTGTCTTTTTATTTCTTACCTGCCATCATCCCTGGGAGTTGCTGGACAAAAGATGGTAGCCAGGGTTTGAAACCATTAAATACAAAGGAAGATAATTGGACCACACCACCACTTCCTGCTGAAGGGGGGCATGTGTGTTTTCTTTACTTTAAAAACAAAGTATTTGTATTTAATTAAATATTTGAGTTTAGGGTTTAATGGGGTTTTGATTTTCTTCTTTAGGGTTTAGTTTATTAACAAACTAGATTGTACTGCATCGGTTGTGATTTATGATTGTGTTTTGTTTGTTACCCCTCATGTGTCACAATGGTCTGATCAGCCATTATATATACCCTTGTATGTCATTTCATGTTTAGGTCAATTATGTATGTTTGAGCAGTCATTTGGTTTGTTAAGTTTGCAGTCTTTGTCTGAGTTCAGTTTTGTTTCTTTGACCTGTTTTATGAGCTCAACATTTATTAGTCTTGTAAATATAATTTTTGGGGGTTAAATAAATGGAAACTATATTTTTCTAATAATTCCTGGGCTCCTCCTGTTTTTCAACTCGGTCCATCACAGGAATGATGGGTCATCCTGATTGGCACATTAACTTCAGGCTTGTTTTTCATTGGCGGACTGTTCTTCAGCAGACAGGTG